GGGGGGTCTAGTCACTGATGAAACCCTGCCCCTTTCTGAGTTGCTGCTGTTGCCAGGCAACCACGAGCACTCCTCAGCACCCAGACCGAGACCATCAACAGCACCGTCGGCAAGATCTCTGATCGGTCGCCCGCTAACCCGGAGGCCCGCACGCCTCTCTCCGAAACCCCAGAAAGCTCCGCCTCCTGCTGGACGCACAGAGGACCAACGAGTGAGGAGCACTTCTTCATTCTTCCCCGCCCCTCAAAAAAAAAAAAATGGCGCCGCTTAGGTCGGCCGGGCCGCGTGATCGCAGATTTTTCTGTTCCCCTAAATTTGGGGCTACGCCGCACGCGTTCTCGCGGGCTTTCATCGCGAGCGGGGGCAGAAGCAAAGTTTGACTCTGGGTGCGCCCAGAAGCTTCTCGATGTCGTCGCGGCCGCAAAGACCCTCCGAAGACATCGACGATACAAGCGGCCCGGGAATGTCCACGAAGCGCAATCGCCGTATTTGCGGCTTCGTTCCAAGCTGGCTCCCTCAACACGGAAGCGAACGCGGGTTGCCTCGGGACCGAGCTCCGCCCCATCTTTCAAGCCACCCCCTGTGTTGGAACGCTCATTGGATTGGCTGCTTCCCAGCACTCCTTCTGGACCGACCCGTCTCCGAGCGAGCCGCATGGCGGCGTCAGAGCGGCAAAGGCAACAAACACGTTTTGTTGCTCCGGCGGTCAGGCCCTCTTGGCAGCCCAGGATGCGTCGCAACTGCGCCTCGTGTTCGCGTCAGCTGCATTTAGCAGGGCTAAGCCTGCGCGAGCCGCAGGATCGGGCAAACGCTTAATCTTCTTGAACTGTGCGCACGCGTGTTGTTTGTGGTGCTTTATGGTCGGTCGCGTGGCAGCGCAACCATCAAATGATGGTCGGATTTGAAGATTGTCAATGACGACGATCGGGACGACGGAGGAGCTGACGGCGGGCGAGCGGATGTCTCGAGGGCTCATGTGACTCGGAGCGGCCTCAGAGGCTTATTTTCTTCTTTCGTCCTGCGATGGCGCGCCGCCGTATGGACGGCCGTCAGAAGAAGACGGGCGCTTACGCGCTGTTGGCGTTGCTGCTGGCCGCAGCGTGGTCGCGGGAGGCCGAGTGCAGCCTGCCCGCGGAGGTAGGCCGCGGCCGCGGGCGTGTCAGCGCCGCACCCGCGGCGCTGACGCGGATTTGCTCGGCTCTCGTAGGTCACCGGCGAGGCGGCGCCGTGGCGCGACGTCGGCGGCCGTCGCCTTGACGCCATCTGGTCGGGTGTGGCCGCAGGTCACCGTGGCGACTTGCGCCGACTTCCTGGACTTTGTCGCCGCCTGAGGAGGCGTCGCTTCAGCTACCTGGTAAACGTTTTGAGTTCGCGTTGTGGCCGATGTTAGTCGAGCATGTCAGCGGCGGTTTGTCTCTGCAGTGTCACAAGGCGACCTTCTGCTGGTGGGGGCGGAGACAGGGACGGGGTCAATTTGGCCAGGTGTGCCAATGTCCGAGAGGCTCCACGTGTTCGCGCGTCTTCATTCGCAGCATCTGACCGCCATCTTGACTCAACTCCTGCCGATAGCTAGCTATCTTGTTTTTCGTCTTACTTATTGTTTTGTGTTGTTCTCCCACCCTAGTGTTGTGTTCTGTGTGTGTTTCAAGATGTAAAACGTGTTTCTTTTTTGTTACTGTAGTTGGCACATGTTAAATAAAGCCATTCAAAAAAAAGCAGAAACTACTTTCTTAACATCTACAAAATGGTAAGAAGAACAGGGCCCAGGATTTTTTTCTCTCTCGGGACAAAAGTGGGGGCTGAGAAAATAATTTACAAATATATATGTGTGTGTGTGTGTGTGTGTGTGTGTGTGTGTGTGTGTGTGTGTGTGTGGAGGGACGCATGACGCAACATCCGGTTATGCGAGTTGAGGAAACGCTCAACCGTGGATTTCCAAATAAAGTGTGTCTACGCTCCAATAGATAAATAGGATGGTATCTGAGAGAGAAAAAAATCTCATAATGTATTAAAATGAGATTCATTGTCAGTTGAACGTTTCTGATGCAGATTCTCAACTGTTTTCGCCACCAACTGACAGATGGTGACGCGTCGGTTGTGTTTTTTTGTGAAAGGTTGATGACGAACTTCCCGCCGTGGCCATTACTGTGCCTTGAGGCTTCGCAGTTGTTGCGTTTGTCGTCGACGCCGCGAACCGGCCTAGCGTTTATTCGGTCGGCGTCGTCACCTACGCTCGTTCGCTTGAGTTGACGTTTGAAAGCGAGCTTTTGATTGGGTTCGAAAATGACTACCGGGTCCGAGACCCGACTGTGACGGTGAGTAGCTAACCAACATAATGCTCGCGTCTGTTAGCAGGCGAACTGCTCGCGTTAGCATTTCACTTCTGACCCTTTTCTTCGTGAATTACCTCGCCTTGTTCGTTCGAAATAGATGGACGTAATTCAAAACGGAACAAGTTCAGGTCAAACACCTTTTCAATCTTTTTAGTGTTGGACGAAATATTCGGACGCCTGTCACACTCAACTCAACTGTATTCACAGAGCACTTTAAAACAACCACCCTGTGTAAAACACGTCAGCGTGTCCGCCATATTGGATGTGACAATTTTCCATTTTCAAAGTTGTGACATTGAAAGGTTTAAAAAAAAAAAGACAACGGCGGAGTAAGGTGGCGGAGGAGAATTATTTTATGAGTTGTTAAATAATTGTGAGAGAAATGTGAAGCAAATGCCGAATAACAAGAGAAAAAGTTCAGTTTGATCTGATGGTTACAATCGTCGACGCGTTATGCTTTCAGAAGTCTTACAAGTAAGCAACCTGTTCATTTAATTGCTTCACTTTGTGACTATTGATAAGCCACACAAAGCTCGCTGACACTAGCCCAACTGGGTCAGTGCAAATTTCAGACATAAAAACAATCAAATGAAAATGTTCAACAATATTCAACATTTCGACTTTTATCTACTTGCATTAATCAATCATCATTGATCTTTTGACTGCGCTGCACACTTTTTTATTGCATTTGGTTAGATCCTTTCCCAGAAAATATCAATTCTTTCATACACTATTCATTCTAGATGTTATACTTCAAAAAAAAAAAAAAAAATCTTCACAGAAGTAATCTTCTTTGAAAGGGTTAGATAATTCAGTACTACATATCAGTGTGGGACAAATAAAGGATATCTTAATATGAAATCCTACACGTCATCAAATATGTGTCTTGAACGTACAGGCCCACTACCAGGCCCACCACCCAAAAGGGGTTCGTGTTGGACCCTCTTTGACATCGATACCTAATTTGTCCTCTGAGGGAAATGAGTTCCAAGTCATCCAAATGGTGTCGCCAAAATGATGGCATCCTGCTCCAAGTTGAAAAGTCATTGCGCAAACGTCAGCGGGTTGGTGTTTGCATGTCAAACGTTTGCTTCCTTGTCCAAGCAGCGCCAGGGAGCGCTTCCCACGGTTCCCGATGGCTCCTCCTCGCCACATCCAACGCGGACGTCGGATTCCGTGCCGTGTCTACGTAGCGACGCGTGTCCGTGCGCTAAAGTCTGAGGCGGCGTGAAAAAAAAAAAAAAAATCTTCACAGAAGTAATCTTCTTTGAAAGGGTTAGATAATTCAGTACTACATATCAGTGTGGGACAAATAAAGGATATCTTAATATGAAATCCTACACGTCATCAAATATGTGTCTTGAACGTACAGGCCCACTACCAGGCCCACCACCCAAAAGGGGTTCGTGTTGGACCCTCTTTGACATCGATACCTAATTTGTCCTCTGAGGGAAATGAGTTCCAAGTCATCCAAATGGTGTCGCCAAAATGATGGCATCCTGCTCCAAGTTGAAAAGTCATTGCGCAAACGTCAGCGGGTTGGTGTTTGCATGTCAAACGTTTGCTTCCTTGTCCAAGCAGCGCCAGGGAGCGCTTCCCACGGTTCCCGATGGCTCCTCCTCGCCACATCCAACGCGGACGTCGGATTCCGTGCCGTGTCTACGTAGCGACGCGTGTCCGTGCGCTAAAGTCTGAGGCGGCGTGACGGCCTTTGACCCGCTTTCGGCATCGGCGCTCGCGTGATGGAGAGCGCGTGGCGGCGCGTCCCGCTGGCGTGCTGCCGTCCTCGCGTGCTGGCGCTGCACGCTCTCTTCTGGGGCCTGGTGGCCCTCAGGTGGGTGCCCTGCCGCTCGCCGGGCCCACCAACCCGCACGCTCCTTTCTTCCCTGATTGTGAGGCTTGCCTTTCAGAGTCTTTGGAGCCGCCCTGTTGGCTGAAGACAAACCCGCAGGTAAAAGCCACGCGCACGGACAAAAAAAGCCATCGTTTGCGACAAACAACGTTTTTCAGTTTGAACCTCGACTATCTCGTCTTTGTCGTGTGTTCCATTAAATGGAGGTGAACGCGATGTGCAAATCGTTGGAATTGGGTTCGTCTTTGGGGGAGGAGAAAAAAAAACAAGTCTGCCTTCACGGAGGACGGCATCGGTTGGAGACTATTTATTGGCGAGAGGCTGGAATTTGGACTATTTGAAGTTGAACCGTGTCTGAAAAGGAAAACTGGTTTGATGAATTGTTGCAGCTCACCTTCGGGCTCTTGATTTCAGTCCCACTGGAAAAGGGAGCCGTGAAACAAACAACCCGAGTTTGAAATGTGTGTTGGAACGGCAAAATGCTTGACCAGACCGGAGAAGAAAACTCTGCAAGCTTCCTGCCAACAAATAGTCCAGCTCATGGGAAATCAGTCGAGATGTTCAGCTAACGAGAAACCTTCAAACAAGCGCAACTGCTCCCGGGCAGGAGAGATTCTCCCTGCTTTGTAGGAAAGACCTGGTGAAGTTGAGTTGGGGATCTTCTCCGCCTCTTCTTCTTGCCGTCAGTCACGCCGCATGTCTTCCAGTCGAGCCCACCGTTGCCCGGCATGTTGCGGCACTAAGCTGAAGGCGCCCAAGTCCGATTCCAGACACACCTCGGCACTCGACTCGACTTTATTTATCGAGCGCTTTGTTCCGGCGGCGGCGCTTTCGAGCCGGCCGCCTCGTTCCCCGCACGCGAGCAATTCTTTTTGTCGTGTGGTATCACGCAGCCGCCAAGGTCAACGTCGCCCCCTGCTGGCTACTGGAGGAGTTTGTGGTGACGGTGGAGTGCTCGCAGTGCGACGCCTTCCAGACGGTACGTGGATTGGCACTCTGGCCACGCTGCGGGGGGCGGGGGGCCGCGCGCACTGACAAAGCTTTGCCTTTGTGTTCAGAAGACGAGGCCGGCGTGCGGCCACACGGGCTACATGGAAAAGGTCAACTGCACCAAATCCAACCGGGATGAGTACAAAAGGTCCGATCCCGTTGCCACGCGGCGCGCCCAGAAGCGTTCTCATCGCGTGTCGGCTTCTGTCGTCGCAGCTGCCGCTCGGCCGTCATGGAGGAACGTCTCTTCTGGAAGTTCGAGGCGGCCATGTTGTCGGTGACGGCGTTGTCGGCCGTCTCGGTGGTCCTGCGTCAGCGCCGGCTGGACCGGCTGGCCTCCGAGAAAGTCCGCCGACAGATCGAGTCCATCTAGCGGCGTCGGCTTGGAATTGAAACTCAAAACGCCGGAAGGAGCCGCCGCCGCTGACCCCGGAATCCCCCGCCATGTGGAGGATGGCATCTCTCGGAACGCTCGCCACGACACGACTGCTGCATTTGCTTTGCCGCGAAGGTGCAAATGAACTCTTAACAGCTCCAATGATATTCCCCAGCTGAATAAAGATCACTCGTTTGAATCCCAAAATGCTTTTCCTCCACTTTCTGCTCCGTGTCGCCGCCCGCTTTGTGAACACCCTCGTTTCATCGCGCCGGAGACTTTGCGGCGCGTTGCGGGTGCTGTTGGCGATTTCCTCACAAAAGAGACCCGAGGCTGCGTCCAAGGTCTCGTCTCGGATCGGTACGTTTCTTTTCCGTTGCGACGGGTGTAATCTCGATGTTTCCTTGTTGCACGTTCCCTTGAAGACATGTTCAGGAGGCACACTTCGTAGAGCGTTGCTCTTCCAATCTCAGGCTCCTGTAAAATATCTGGCAATTTTGAATGTCATACCGCTTAGGAAGTTGGCATTTCTTAGGGCACGTTTGCACTCCAGACCGACTTCCAAAGCTGCATTATTGCCACCGAGGGTCGTCTTGTCGTTGTTTTTAGCCTACGAACCGATTTCATTCTGTTGATTTGACTGCACGGCCCCTCGATTTTGCCGTAGCAATAATGCGTCCATTTTTTGAGTGAACGATGCACAACGAAGTCGGGGACCCACGCGCAAAGCAATTGGCAGGAGAGCTTCGGTGCTTTGCGAAGCTTCATTTCGCCATCACCACCTTTGGGAACTGTAATTCGGTCTCCGTGCGCTTGCTCTATGCCACTGGGGTCGGCGTCAGGTCAAGAAACGCTTCAACTCGGTCTTGATCTCTGCCTTGTTTTGGCTCATCTGCGGCAAAAAAAAAAAAAAAAAAAAAACAAAACCTCCGACATTCTTGTCGGCCGTCTCGTACGTGTGGGAAAAATAAAGCTGTGCGAAACGCAATTTGTGTTTTGGGCTCATTTTGAAATGTGTGCAAAACGCAGCCTGTGGCACTCATTTTTGGCACATCGCGCCGGGGCGTTTGGCGGCGACGTCATCACCGCGCGACGTCGGTGGCGCCGCTGTTGCTGCGCAGTCGCTCGTTTGGAATTTTCCAACGGAGTCGCGAAAGTTGCCTTTGCGGCTTTGGACCGACATTAGCGACGACGTCGGAACCGGTCCCGTGGCCCGAGCCGCCCGGATCGCCTTTGCTCGCTCCTGCCTGCCGATGGACTCCGCGAGAGGTTCGGTGGAAGGCTCGCTGCTGGCGGCCAGCAACGTCCCGGCCTTCCTCGGCAAGCTGTGGACTTTGGTGGAAGACCCCGACACGGACCCGCTCATCTGCTGGAGCCCGGTACGACTTTTGCACTCTGATCTCGTCCGTTTCGCCCCGACCGCGGCAGCCCGGTCCCGCGCGGTGTCGCGCTGGCTCAGTTTAAAGCGCAGGAAAGGGGGGGGGGGGCGCTAGCTGCTAGCCGCGAGAGCCAAGTGGCCGAGTCTTTCGAGGTGAGCGCAGCGCCGCCAGACGACTTGATGAGGTACCGCAAGAACAATTGTGGCCGGCCAGTAAAATTGATCCGACGCGCACCGTCGCAGAAACCAACTAGGCCCGCCCCGTTGACGGGTGCGATGCGGATACTTGTACGAACGAGTCGACTTTTCTCCAGCTCGATCGGCCCCGTTCCCCCTCTTGTATTCACGTTGCCGAGTCCAATTTGCCGTCGGAGCGGGCGATTCGGCGTACGGGTTTGCAGAAGTCGACGTCCGAGCGTCGAGTGAGTCGAGTGATTTGCAGCTGGCGGCGTCCTTCCAAAGGCGAATGAACTCGCTGGGCCGTCCCAACGTTGTCGACGACTTCTTGTCTGGTTTGTCCCGTGCCAGAGCGGAACCAGCTTCCACGTGTACGATCAGGGTCGCTTCTCCAAAGAGGTCCTGCCCAAGTTCTTCAAGCACAACAACATGGCCAGCTTCATTCGACAGCTCAACATGTGTGAGTACAAGCTCGTGCCGAACGGCTCGCTCAGCTTTGCTCTCCGAGCCTTGGCCCAACCGCAGGCCGCTGGCTTTTCTCCCCCCGCCCCCAGACGGCTTCCGCAAGGTGGTCCACATGGAGCAAGGCGGCTTGCTGAAGCCCGAGAGAGACGACACGGAGTTCCAACACCCCTTCTTCGTCAGAGGCCAAGAGAGCTTGCTGGAGCACATCAAACGCAAAGTCACCAACGTACGAACGCCGGCGAGACGCCGCC